AGGGGGATGCAGGGGGGGGGAGGAAGGAAGGTAAGTGTCTGTGAGTTGATGATATTAGAGGTGGGGAGAGTGGGATGTTTGTGAGTTAATGGTATTAGAGGTGATAATTGGGGAAGCTATCTTGGTAATGGGTAAGACAGCTTGAGTGTTTGTTCATTACTTTTTGGAGAGTGTCGAATTTTAACATCTGAGGAAGTGGGTCTGGCCCACAAAAGCTCATCATCTAATAAACCATCTTGTTAGTCTTTAAAGTGCTACATTGTCCTGCATTTTGCTTCAGCTACCCCAGACTAACACGGCTACATTTCTATCACCATTCATTTTTAGTGACTTGTAAAGATTTGGGAGCCCAAATAAGATCTGAATATGTCCTTAAAAACATTTCTTAAAAATAACATCTTTAAAACAAAATGAAAATAGATGGTTCAAGGCAGCACTCTAACTGATATGGCCTTCCTATCACAGGATGTTTTGTTGAGCAACGGTCTAATTAGTTATTTAATGATGGCCAGCACTTCTTGGAAGAAGCATTACAAATTTCCATGGCAAATTTCCTTTCAGTCAGCCATGTATTGCAAACCCAAGCAATTAAATCTCCCAAATCAGGCAACACACGAATAAGAAAAATAATCATGAGACTGACTCAAAATAATAAATTCTGGGTCTCTGTTTCTTTTCTGGGATTTGAGAATTTGTGGTTTTGAGATGGTCCAGGGGTGAAGAGGCTGGCCGGGCATGTGCAAGATTGGGTTTAATGCCCTGCTTTGCCATAGGTTTCCTGGGTGAACTTGGGCAAGTCTTTTAGCCTTAGTTCCCCATCTGCAAAATGGGGACAATAGCACCTCCCTATCTCACAAGGGTGTTAGGAGGATCAAAATATTGGGAAGGGCATTGAGATCTACTGATGACAATAGATATTATATTATTATCGTTTCCAGCTTTTTTCTGTAACTATGGAAGGCCAGAAATTTGATAAACTCTCTCTTTTTTTAAAGAAATAGTCTGACAAATCATATTAATCCAGAAGGTGTGGCTCTGTCCCCCTCTAGTGGCATCTAGCCCATTCACAGATTGGTGAATCTGCAACAGCCTTGGCTAAGGAACACATCATTGTCCACAGCTCTCCTGGCATTTCTAACAAAACTCCCATCAGTGAAAGCAAAATATCTGTCTCCTCTCATTTTGAAGCTGCTCTCAAAGCAGCAGCAAAACAAGGTCGGAGTGCAATCCTGTCAGTGAAATAGCTGCAAGAGTCCTCACAGTGTGAAGTGCTCAAATCTGTTGCTGAGTGGCAACAGTCTGCATCATCAGGCTGTTCACCACAGGAAAGAGCCCTACCATTCTGCTGACCCAGATATTGTGGATTCGAAGACATATTTTAAAACTGTTTCTCAACAAAGCATTTGCAGTAATGTCCTTTCCCCCCTTTTTTACGCAATTTGAAAAATTCTAACCCAAATATAAAGGAGAAGTAGGAGACGTTTTGAAGAGATGAACACTACCCCTCTTTCATGCATTCAGGTAATTAAAACAGGCAATTGTATTTATGAACAATTGAAGCTGTAACTGACTGGGGAATAAAAACTAGTAAGGAGAAAATGGTTTTTTCAGTCTTATCGTAGCAGTGAGCACATATGCTTCTTCTGGGAGTTTTTAGCTGCTATTTAGCTTTTGTCTTTGTGCAATCAGAGTTTCATAGTTTAAGTTGAAGCTGATCTACAAAGACTACAGGATACAAATCAAAAGTCTGCTGTCGCTGCTACTGAAAACAATAGCAGAACTTCCATTGACTTCCATGTTTTAAACTAACAAAAATTCCAAGTACTCTCAGAACGAGGAGCCAGATTTTCAAAGATTGTAAAGATGCAGATAGGCACTTTTGAAGATTCCACTTCAGTGAGATAGACTTATTTCCCAGAAAAGCAATAAAAGTTAAGCAATCAATCTGCTTAAGAATTATTAAACATCTCATTAGGAACTTACCTGCATCTTTAGGTGCCTAAATACCTTTGAAAATCTGGCCTTCATACCTATAGCTAGATTTCTAAGTTCACGTTCAGATAACTAAATAAATGATCTGAAGTTCAAAATTGCTGAAGTACATGAGAATTGATGGATGCTCTGCAACTCTGAGGAAATTTGTTCATTGACATCAAACTCCAGGTCTTCAATTTTTTAAATCTGGCCATTTGCAGTAAAAGATCTTGAGATCTGATAATAGCAATGGTGGAATACCAACCACCACAGTCAAAAGCTTTTAATGAAATATCTCAAATAATAATTTTCTGAAATATGTCAGTTTAGACAGTTCAATAATTTGACAAAAATTAGCAAAATGCAAGTAATTTTATTCTTTACTTTTGTAGGTGGCCAACTGCTAGCTTGTAAATTACCTGTCTTTAGGAAAAGGCAAACAACATTTCTTAACAGGATTTGTGTTACCCCACTTGAGAATACCCCCACAACAAATGCAAGTATTAAATAATATAAAGTAATAATTTAAAATGGAGTTTCAGTTGATAGGTTTATTTTTACAGTCTAACCCTGATTATGAAGATGCACTAAAGATATTCAGTTGCAAAGTATTGTTGTTAATTATTATTTTGTTGTACTACACAACTGTTTGAAGAATAAAAATTATAAGCTTTATATCTTGCACACATTCTTGAAACTCATTTTAATGATTTGAACTCCTTTGGGTATATTGTTTCTCCTCAATAGCAAACATACAACATGTTCTTAAATCCAAGAAAAACTAAATCATTACAGGAACAGTGACATACAATAGTATGATTAATAGTTCCAGATCTGTCACTTCTTATGAGTCACTAACAATGAGGTAAAAATTGTCATGTTTCAATCTTCTAAAAAAGAGGACTAGGGAAGAACATCTCCCCTTGAGGTAAAATATTGCAGTGTTAATGTAGATATCATTAGGAGAATTTTTTTTTTTTTTTAAAAAGCAATCACATTAGATGCAGTTATATGAGACTATTTCTTAAAAAAAAAAAAAAAAAAAACCTCTTTCCCATATCTGTATCATATCTCCTCACTGGAGTTTTTTTTAATTTTTAAAAGCACTGCCTAATTTGAAGTGGGAGGGCAGAATAAACTAGGAACTGCAATAATATGAACAAACCCATAGTTCATCCACCTTAATACCCTATCACAGACTGTAAACACCACTGGGTGCTTCAGAAATTGTTTACATCTCTTTTATAATTTTTCATTTATAAAGTTTGTACATGCCACATACAATGCTTATCTTTTCTTACTATTTCTGAACATGTCCCAGAAGCTCCAGAAATAAGTGGATCTCCAGAGATCCGCACAATGTAATGCAGTTCCTTTCAAGATATCCAAACTACATGCGTGTTTGGAAACAATAGCAAATGAACCTAAATGAGATGTACAAGTTATAGATATCTCCTTAACTGTCCTAAGAATAGCTATCTAGTGCTTGCTGTATAGTCCATGAGCTCAGACACCGTGTTTTCCTTTTTCATTGCCCCAACACTTGTTTTAAGTCAAACACTATTGTTCCCTATGCATTCCATGTAAAACAGCAAATTACTATCTTCTGTTTCAGGCTCAGAAATCTATCCTATAAAACTGGCTATGGGCCAATCCTGTCCCACATCAGCACCTGGAATCTTTTTGGGACCAATTTACTTGGAAAGCTATTCCCATAGTAAGCCTCACATTTAAATTGTGAGAAGAAGCCGAGACATTTTATGAAATGAGGAGCTTCTAACATAATTCCCAGATAAGGGATTTTGAGGGCATATTTTTCATTGATTGGGGGATTGGATTCTGTCATTGCAATCCTTGCCAGGTGATCAGTTACACATCAGAGAGAGAATAATGAATAGGCAACGTGAAAAGTTCATGGTTTACTGACAGCTTACAAATTATTTGGCCAAACTATTTGGTGAACACTAATTTTATTAGTAAAGAAAAAAAGATTTAAGTGTTCAGAATATTGGGTTCAAATTTAACAGGTTCTATTATCAACAGGAAATGCACAGTTCAAGATAGCTTCCTCTATCAGTACTGGTAGCACTATATAGACTAACAAAACAGGTAGATGGTATGAGCTTTTAACTCTGGTCATCTGAAGAAGTGGGTTGTGCCCACGAAAGCTCATGATAACATCTACATGGTTTGTTAGTCTATAAAGTGCTACCAGACCATTTGTTGTTTTTTAAGTTTGTCCTGTACAGGCTAACTGAAGCTTCTATCAGTACTGTTTGTTAACATGGAATGGACTATTCATTATGCCTTCACTGGGGACATTCCTGGAATGCCTTTTTGGGCAGATGACATTTACATGCTAGCATCATACAAATGCTGTATGCATTCATAAGATTACACAAGGGCAAGGTAGTTTGGATACAAGCAGACTGCTTCCCTTGCACTCGGATTCAAAATAACATGAGTAATTCCTCATTTAACACTATAGATATGTTTCAGAAAATGATCATGTTAAGTGAAAACGTGCTATACGGGGTCAATTTTCCCATTGAAAATAATGGAAAAGGTGGGGGTTGTGTTTCAAGCGGTGGTGTCTGTTGGGACCGGGACATAAGGTTGGGGGAAAAAGGGGACTGGGTTACAGCAGGGAAGGGAGGCGTTTGGCTCTGGGGAAGGGAAGTGGAGGGGGTTGGGAGTATGCCCATGACAGGTCTGCCAGGACCTGCACTGCGTCAGGCGAGGGAGGGTCGCCGGGAACGGCGTGGTGAGCGGTGAACCCTCCGCCACTTTGCAGGGAGGCGGGGGAAGCCCCATGCAGCTGCTGGCAACGGATCGGCTGGGTAAATCATGTTATTCCAGGGACGGTCGTGTAATTCAAAAAATGTTCCCTAAAAAAAAAAAAATCATGCTATCGCGAAAACGTGTTAAGCGGGCAAGTGTTAAATGAGGAATTACTGTACTGATTGTAATACACACCAGATACCTTAAAATTAAAGCATTGTACAAAACCACAAATTACAGATTTTTACCTTGCATAATGGCACTTGAAAGAATTTCTGATACAATAAGTATTGATACATAATATATGATCTTAAATGTGAAGACAATACACAGAAGAGGAGACAAATAACACAAATTCTGGTGACAGCCATCCATTATTTGGACAGTACATACCTCCTTGGCCATGTCAGTGTATTTCTGCTTTTCTTTTGGGTCCAGAACAGCCCACCAATCTGCCAATATCTTGGTAGCACCACGATTGTCCAGACGGGGGTGTTCCTGCCGCACAAGGGAACGATGACGTTTGCAAAATAAGAGAAATGCGTTCATTGGCCTGCGGGCTCGCTGCTCTGAAGATTCATCATCTTCTGTTTCATCAGCATCGTGGTCTAGACCATCAGCTCCAAGAAGTTGTACCTATTAGCACCAAAATATTAAATATTAAAAAAAAAATCAGTCAATAAAACATGTAAAGCATTAGCCATTGTATTAAAGTTTGTGAGAATGGATATAAATAACAGAAACAATGATATACATACACCCCTCCTAAAATATGTCCACATAAAACCTGCCAACATCTTGTACCAAAGATAAGATCAGTAAAAAGCTTATTCAAGCCAAAGTTTCAACTCTGAAATTCTTCTGCCAGACTCAAGCTCAGACTAAGAGAGGGAACGAATGATGGACATTCTCTGCCACCAGCACTGGAGAGTTCAACATCAGGAATTGAAACCAAAAGTAATCCACTACATAACTATCACAAGGCAACAAAGGAGAAAGGCAAGCTTAGCTAACCTAGCTTGGACCATATGACTTGCAACCAACAATGTGAAGTGTCACTGGAAATGAACAATTAGCTAGCACAGAGGACTAGTGCAGTGTAATCCCAGCAACTCTTTCCACTCAAAAGTTGTGCACCCGGCAATTCAATAACAAAAAAGTTGACTAATGCTTTCCCCAGCTGGAATACACAGCAGTAATTCAGCCTTGGGCTTATAGATGCAAGTGTCAATGTGGCAAGACCCACCTGACAGATGACTAGTGAAAGTCCCTGGAATAACAACAAAGATCACAGATGCCCATTTGATAGCACAGGAAAGTTATAGACTAAATATGATGCTGCCATACACTGGAAGGGGTGGGGCCTTATGTGGAAGAGCAGAGCTGGGGCTAGCCTCCCCCAAGCAGCCCTCAGCACTGCTGGAACATGCCACATGAGGCTCCAGCAGTAATTTAAAGGGCCTGGGGCTCCAGCTGCCATCATCACTACAATGGCAGTGGCCAGGAGCCCTGGACTCTTCTGAATCACTGGGCGCTGGGGCAGTTACCTCCTTTGTTTCCCCACCCCTGTGTCAGTGGGCCTGGCAGTAATAAACTCAACGTTGGTTTTTCATTTTAATCTTGTTGAATTACCTTAAATAGACCTTGGTACACATCTTATGTACCACTGAATATTTGTATTAAATTATTCAAATTAAGTGTCTTCAGCCTACAACAAATCTATTCCAATGTCCTTTGTTTCCTCACAGTAGTAAAAGATAAAAGGAGTTGTAACCCAAAACCTAACACATTAATGTCCTCAAATCTGTCACACCTTTCTAACTAATTATGCTTTTTTCCTGTGCCTAAGAAAGTTATTTTATCAACCATGCTCCTGGCTCTTAATGCTCAACTTAAAGATCTTTACGGAACTGCCTCTCATCACAAATGGAGTAATGCTGAGGGCTTATCTTTTGGAAGGGACAGGCTACCTTATCGATATCTTCTTCCTCGTCTTCTTCCTCCTCCTCTTCAGAGAAATCAAGGATTTTCTTTGCAAGTAGTGGATGCCACTGAAGACACTTTCTCTTTGGTCGTTTCCCAGTTCCCTCTCCTTCTGGTGAATGATCCTTATTCCGATTACTGCCTTTCATTACTGTGACCTGCCATACAAAAATAGCCACAAAAGTCATCTTACCAAATTCATGCAGATCACTTATTTATGTTAAACGTAAGGGATCATCCCATGAATAGCTGAACAAACTGATGCCAATTCAGAGGTTTATCGAATACAAAATTCTCCTAATTGTTTTTGACAACACTAAACATAGACCTTTATTTTTATATGGCATCATGTGAACTCACTGAGGATGAATCCTTTCTTGTCTTAACACTCACTTCAGTTCTTCTAGTAGCTCTGTGACACCCAGATTTCAACTCTTTAATTGGAACACTAGCCCTGTCTAACTTTCAAATATGCTCTTGCTCAATCTCCAGTTCAGAGTATTCACCTCATCAGCTCAGTGAGCAAGAAGCTTCAAGCTTCTTCCAAGCTTGTGTCTATTACAATATTTCACATTTTGCAAAGCCAAGAAATCTCTTCTTTTAGCACCAGAACATCTCGTCAGCCACTCACCTGCAAATATGCACTTATATTTAGCAAAGATTATATATAATCCTGTGACACCATGAGCCAGAATTTCCCCAGTGCCATTAACAAGTGCAATAGGGAAATCCAGTCCTAGAGGGATGAATTATGAATTTGAAGCAAACAACAAGAAGCAATTATGCTAACAACATTTTCAAAGTGCTGGTCTATGTGAACATGTACACAATACAATCCTGCGCTGGAAAAATGAAGTGCATACCCACACAATACAGATCATATTTATCCACTATCTTGCATATTTGTGTTTTGTAGTAAGTATCTCAGATCTGTCTTCGGTATAATACATAATAATTACATATTAACATCCTGTTCAAGAGATCTGATAACCAGGTGTATCTTGAAATAAGGCACAATATCCCTCTTTGCATAGTGGATACAAATTAAAGATTTAAAAAAATTAAAAACCTCAGATTTTGTTTTAACTTAAATTGGATTTTTATTTCATTATTTAAATAAGCTTTTCTTTTTGAAAAATAAATATACCCATGGGTTTCTAACAACAACTCTTGGCGGTGCCTTGGTGCACGTAAAATTTATTCTGCACATGGATGGAAACATTAGAGGGAACCATTGTGACTTTTTTTAAAGTAAAAGGTACAGTGGAAAACTATACAGTGTTTATCACACCCATATTAATAAAGATTAGCTAAAACAAGTTATTTTAACCGTTTGGTCTAGTAGTCACCTGAAACAGCTACTTTTATTCAGGCCAAATTACATGTTCCATTCCAAACCCAGTTTTCAGTTTTAATATTGTGCAGAGGTTTTTTTGGTTCACATCTCGCAATATGGCAGAACAACTGTTGCAGGTCGCTGACTGGCTTTCACTAAGTGGTGAGCAACACTGACTCAACTGTATGAGTGGCCAATACTGGTCCCAGGCAGCAAACCCAGGCAGCGCTCTTTTGAAGCTGTGCCGTGACACATTTTAACTGTATTTACATTCACAGCCATGCTCCACAATGTTACATAAATAACAGAACTCAACTTTTGACATGGCAAAGATGCACTGTATTAGAAGCACAATCTCTGAGAGATTGGTTTATGAGAGAGAACATATTAACAACATTTTTAAACAGGGAAAAAAATGTACTTCCATACACTTTGGTGCCGCTTAAAGTTTGGTGCCCTAGGCAACTGCCTAGTTTGCCTATATGTTTGGGCCAGCCCTGCAAGCATCAGAAACTACCACAGTAAGTTCTAACTTGTGTAATTTCAATAGTCCTCAATGAAACAGGAAAAATTCGGCTTCAAAAAGTTGGTTCCATTATTTGAAAATTGGAACCACTTGTACCATCTTGGTAATTTCACACATATGCATTCAAATTGTTTTCTCTCCCCCCTTTCACACATCAGGGACCCACTCAGTTCAGGATGCTTTGTGACTTAGCAGCTTTCCTGTACCAGCTTTGTTGTTTGTACCATCTTGATCTCCCATGTAACGCTTAAACTGCTTTTCACGTCAGTTATTTCACTGATAATTAACTGTAACCACTAAGAAGTCTCATTACTATTTCAAAAATCAAGTTTAATAGGAAGCTTTCTGTTCCCCTGAGTTCTAAAGAGGATTAAGACAAGTCTTCACAAAAGACAAGCAATCCCACTGCATGCTTTATATTTGTTCTCAATTATATCTGAGAATTTATCCAAGCATATAGTTTTGGAAAAGACAAATGTAAACAGAACCTGAACATTAGCCATTTCTAAAATCCCTAAGGGATTCATGCTGTGATCTTTATTTATAATTGTTCCTCACTCACAAACAACTGTTTATACTACACAGAGGCCAAACACTAAGTACCTAATTATCCTTTAAAAACAATTAACTAAATTAAGTACTCATTGCACTGAGTGGGTAAAGATGTATGTATATCCAGCTTCCTGCAATTTAGTTACATTAGTTAGTTTTTTAAACTTGTGATCTATTTTACCCTTGCAGTCAATAAGATGATACAGTTCACCTATTACAAGACTCTGAATAAGGCAGCTGCCAACTCACCATAACTAGAAAACAAGAAACTTGCATCTGCAGTACCAAAAATCATTCAAAGCCCTAGATAATAGAGAAGTAGATCTCTCTAGAGCAGTGGTGAGTAACCTGCAGCCTATCAGGGTTCTGTGTGTGGCTGCAGGAGCAGCCCAACGCCAGCTGAGGCAGCTGGCGCCCCAGGCGGAAGGCTCCATCGGCGCCCCTGCCTGCATGGCCATCAATGGCCGTGACATCATCATCGGGCGCCCGGGCCAGCAGTGCCCTTGGCCTAGGCTAGTCTGCCTAGGCTCACGGGCCACCCCTGGTGGCTCGTGAGACATTTTGTTTACCGTTGCTCACACTCGGGGGTTGCCAGATTCCGCTGGTTTCCATCTATGGACTTTTTTCCTACCAGTATTACTAAAGTGACACACATACAAAGCAAAGGCACAATGAAGTGAGGTGCGTGCTGACTGCACACAACATTGGACTATGAAAGTGGTGCGCTTACCTCTGCATCCAATCAAAGCGCTGCTACAATTCAGCCAAGACATGCCAAAAATGTTAGGTATGCAAGCAAAACTACCTTATCCTGGGAGACCCTCTTGGTTATGACCATCTCGAGGCCCACTGAAATGAAGGAGGCCCAGTCATGAGGTCCACTCACTAGCACTGCTGCTCTAGAGAGACGCGTTGTCTCTCCTCTGTCAAGGCTGGAGAAGTCTCTGATGGGTACAGACACAGGCCCTCAAGTCAATGGGAGTTTTGCTAGGATTTCAGTGGGAGAACAATCAGGGTCACAACAAGGCCAGTTTTCAGTCTCCCCTCTAACTTGGCAGCAGGGCAAGGAAACAAAAGGCAATGTTCTCAGGAAGTGTGCAAAGCTACACCCCCTGCCACCAAGGCACAAACTTTGAAGCAAGTCATAGCAGGCATTTTCAAGTTATTTGGATCACTATGTTGTAATGTTTTAGCTTTTCTGAATTTTTTATGGGAGTGGGAGCACACATTTTATTGTAATCTTTGCTCTATCCATTTCACAGTAGTTTTAAATGTGTTGGTGTCTACCGAGAATTATTCCTTGTGCTTTTTTTTTTTTTCCTGTGGGCAGAAGTCTCTCACAACATAAGTGGATGTAAGCATTGTATAGAAACTTTATCAGTTTCTACCAAATTTTACAGTCCCCTTTGCTTCTGGGGACTGAAGCTGAGATACCACACGTTGAATGTTTTTTCTTTTAACTAGGTTCTCTCCTTTCTGCCCAGGCACTCCACAGATACAGTATACTCATAATGACATACAGTCATTGTGAGTAGATTACCAAGGGCTGCTTAACATACTCTTAATCCACACAAATTTAATAATTTCCTTCATTTTTCCTTTCAAGTTCTTGGCTACTTACAGTATTACTACTTTGGAAAAAATCCAATTAAAGTTCAAATGAGCACATAAATCAGCTAAAAGTATCTTCTTCTGTACTACTATTGCTTACTTATTGATTAAGTTATTGGAACATTATTGGAATTCATTTAGTTGAATATTTGGGTTCTTATGTCTATCCTTTTTTCTTAATATGAAATCAATAGCATGGTAATCGGTTAGGTACAAATAAACATAGCCTGGTTTAATGGAAAGTTTATATTTTGACTACAAATGACATTTCTGTGTTCTTCACACTGCTCTATAAACATATGGTAGTGATACAAACTGAAGGCAATGCCCTCAGTTTGTAATGTAAAACTATTAATAGGTCTCCAGTAATCATTCCACAATGCCACCAATAGTAATATAAAAATGCTTTCTTGATTCTGCATCTCAATACCATCTCATGGGAAGACAGAAAAGGTGCCTGAAAAATCAGCATGGTCACTGTTGCATCTGTCATTCAGTTTATTAGGCAAGGCACACTCTATACCAGAGACCCTCACGATTCGCAGAAGTGCTGTTCACGGTTCCATGTATTCCTGTGCTGTCCTGGTGAGGAGGACAGCGGGGACTAGAGCTGCAGTGACTTCCCTGCGGCTCCTGGAACTCAACCACTGCGAATGGTGAGGGTTTCCTGTACAAGAAGAAAAAAAGTGGGGGCTGCCATGCCTCTCAAAGACCAATTTTCTGGAGGAATGTTTGCTGATTCAGGCTCTGACCCTGAAAGGACTTTGCGAGGACTTTGCTTAGCTTTACACTGTGACTAGTCCCATTGAAAGCATCAAGATTACTCATGGCATAGGAATGCTAAGCACATGCAAGAGTCTTTATAGAGAGGGCCCTACCAAATTCAGGGCCATCACGGACTATAAATGTTGGTCTCTCCCTGTGAAATCTTGTCTTTTGTGTGCTATAAAGATCTGGCAGGGTAGAGCAGCATTTCTCAAACTGGGGGGCCTGACTCAAAAAAGGAGATACAGTGGGTTACAAAGTTATTTTAGCGGGGTCACAGTATCGCCACCTTTACTTCTGCACTGTCTTCAGAGCAGGTGGATGGACAGTGGTAGCTAATGGTCGGAAAAGAGTGGCTGAAGGCAGCC